TCACTAAAAATAATTTTTTTAAAATAAATTAAATTTTACGATAAAATATCATCATCAACGTCGATAAATCAAATATTAATCATACGCTTTCTATTATTTTAACTTTATCAATGATTCAATAAAAAAAACTTTATCAAATTACAATTAATATAATTTAATATTTAAAATTTTCGTATACTTTTTGAAATAATTTGGTTCTGGATAAATAAAGACATACATATCCAAAAAAAAATAATGAAAAACTAAACTTATATTTATATGTAAATATATATTAAATGTGATATTTTAGAGAAAAAAGAATCGAAACCTCATTAAGAAGAATATTATTCCATTTAATTAATTAAAAGGAAACTAAGCTATACAGAAATAATGATACTTAAAACCATTACATACGAAAAGCAGTCTCATCATGGCTTAGATTAATCAAAAACTTTCGGCAAAATTATCAATTATTCAAACCCTAATATCTTATGCACTTTTAACATTAAAGATGAACATTTAATCTATTGAGTGGCCTTAGTGATTAAAAGAAATATTGTTCTCTTTTAAAGTCTTGGGTTCGAGCAACTATGTCAGCAACATAAACTAGAAATATCCTCAAATCCATGATATCGCATGTATCCTCAAATCCAATATCTATATAAAAAATCTATACATCCTAAATCACTCTCCCAATATTCTTACTAAACAATCTCTGCAACATAAACCTCAAAAGTTGTAAAGATAACAAAAAGGTTATATCTTTCTAAAATATTTCTTTCTCATCTATTCTAAAGGTTAATGCATATTCTCTATTTATAGAATTAAATACTTGATCACTATGAATTTTTAAATTAAATAAACTTAATTATCAAGTAATCTTAAGACACTAAAATTATAATAAAACTTAACTTAATTACCAAGTAATCTTCAACTAGTAGAATTAAAATAAAACTTAATTAATTACCAATTATAATTTGGGTCAAAATATAACAAATCTTCCACTTGACCCAAATCTCATAAAAAAAAGTTGGTTTTCAAGTTTTCAACAATTTCAATCTTTACGTAAATCATATATTCGTTGAAGTATTGCCGCCAAGTCTTTGGTAATTTCAATTCACAACAATTTTCTACAATTGAAAATTCATTGCAGCAATTTTCTTGTTGCATGTCTCTAAAATCGTTAATCAAATTCACAACAACATATTCCTTTAAAACTTCGTAGCTTGAACCATAACTCTAATATCATTTGTTAGAAATTTATAAGCGGAAAAATAACTAAAGAGATATCAACATAAAATAAAACTTGTGCAAGAGACAAGATCTAACATAGTTTGACATTGCTTACCTCTATTCTATGGACAAGATGAAAAATAGTCCACCATAGATGTAAACATCACAAAATACATAATATTTTAAGATCTATGGGTCAAATGCAAGAACTTTTTGTTGTGAAATTTTATATTGATCAATTATTCAAACCCTAAAATCCTATGCACTTTTAAATTTAAAGATGAATGTAGCATATTCATAAACTATATTATATATAAAAGAAACTATATTTTTTAAACTATATTTTAAATGTAGGATATGTATTAATAAACTGATTTATCCATATCACACAAGCATAAAAAGAAATATAGTTCAAAGACAATATAAGCATTGTCATAATCATTTTTTTTTGAAAAAAAACAATTAACAATTAATGTTTAAAAAGATAATTATGACTGGCATGTTTCCACATAGCAATTTACAAAAATACATCATAATAATAGTATCATATTCACACTGTTTATTATATAGTCACTCAAGGAGTATGTTCTACTAATAAGCTTTATACCATGTACAATATCGTTAATATTGAATATCCAGATAGTTTTATGTCACTAAGTCAAATGTTTCTTGTATGTATTTATACTTTGGTTGTCTTCATTATCACTTTGAACGCAACTAAGTCTGTATAGATAGATATTATCCACACGACCGTGCATAATAGATCACCATCATAGCTCATACTCACATCATTACACATAAACTACATATTAGACATAAGTTTTTTTTATCACAAATTCACCATTATTATTCTTGCTTTTTTAAGGAGTCAAATGAGGTTTTTTAATTAATTTTATATCACATCATTCTTTTAACGATAGCTAAAAGATGCAGTGTCTATTTTATAAGAAAAATTTAGAATTTAATGTTTACTCTCTTCGTCCCACTAAACGTGTTCATTATTGACTTTTTAAAAGTCAAAATTTTTTAAACTTTGACTATGATTATTTTAAATATTTTAAACAATTAAATTTTATAAAATATATATTTATGAGCTACTTGATTTAAGATTTTTAAAATATATTTTTTCCTATTTTTATTAATAATAAATTTTAAATAATAATGAGTCAAAGTAAAAAAATTGACAAAAAATTAACAATAGGCAGATTTAATGAAACAAAAGGAGTATTATATAACTTTTGAAAGTTTAATATCTAAAAATATTATTTTAACATAGCTTAGTGAAAAATTAAAAATTATATCCTATAAAATTAATAGCATATATCGATATGTGTGACATGCACTCGAGATAGAATTTTCCACGTATTAGACATTAGTGTTTTTTATTATCACAAATTCATCATTACTATTCTTGCTTTGAAGCTTTTATAGTTTAGGAAAAATTACACTCTTTTAAAATTATTCTTAATGATATATTATCATTTGAATCACTAACAGTACATAAAACTATAAATTATTAGTGCATCAAATACTCCCACTTTCTTTAAACACAATGATCACAAGAGAATGTGAACAAGGAAACCCTTGCTTTTAATTTCCCAGATATTTATTTCATTCTCATAATAGAAATGTTTTAAAAAAGGAAGGGAATATTGTAAACTAATTTCAGGTAGTGTGAAGTATGTGTGGGGGCAGCAAGGAATCTCATGTTTAAACCATGAATGAAGCATTTTTTTCTCCACCATTTTCAGCCTCTTTTTTGTTTGTTTGTTGTTTTTTTTATTAATTTATCTTCCCCTTCAAAGCTATAAATTTCTCATCACTTAAACCATTACAAGTGAAGCAACAAAAAGCATGGGAGAAGAGAAAGAGGATGTCAAAGAGGGAGTGGTTAACATTAGTCTCAAGGATCTTTCAAAGAAAGACTGAGACAAATACCAGAGTCCTGGGAATCTCCTACTTGCTATGGTAATCATTTCTTTAGCAACTTTTTTTTAGTAGTCTAGAGTGATTATAAGTAATATCTGTTTAGAATTTTTCTTAGTCATTGACAACGTACACATACCTACAGACACGGCTGATTGAACCCAGGACCTCTAGAGAGATCAACATTCCTTTTACCCACTAAAACCACTAGATGGATTTGTTTAACACTTTTTTAATTACTAGAATTCAGCTAAATTCAATGTCAAACCCTTTCCTTATTTCATGTACAATTTCTTTCGACATTTTCTCTAAAGTTCCCTTATACTACACATGTGAAAGTAGGATATTGGACATGTATGACAAAACTTAAAAACAACGGTTGTGGACACTCAGCAGTGTCTGAATAATGGTTTATGTGTAGGTTGGAGAAGTAGGGAAGGTGTCAGAGAAATTCCGATGGAGAGGAGAAGTGGTGAAAGGGTTGCCGAATTGGAAGGAATCAGATAAAGAACATTTAGGAGAAGAACTTTCTGATGTACTTTTATACCTCATTAGATTGTCTGATATTTGTGGCATTGATCTCGCTGATGCTGCTTCAAGAAAACTTGTTAAGAACGCCATCAAATACCCACCACCGCCCAAAGTTTTATGATCTTGGTGATGCTGCTTTAAAAAGCCCTCAGTTGGATGCTATATCTCCTTTCCTTTTCAGACTTTGGAATAATAAAATTATCCTTCATTTTCCTTCTCTTTTGGGCCTTATTTTAATATAGGATAACTTACACAAATGATCCCTAGTTATACTATAGTACTTTGTTGAGTCTCTTACTAGTAAAAGTTTCAAAATGATCCCTTCATTATAGGACATTGATTTGTTGAGTCCTTCAACTATGAAAAGTTACAAAATGATCATTTGACTATTCATTATGTTCCAAATTCGTCATTCTTCGTTAAAAAATTAACGATCATCTGAGTTGGACGTGAACATACTAATTGAAATATGATAGTCGTTTGAGATTATGATATCAGATTTTATCATATCTCAGTCAGCACGTTAATTTCCAACTTAGAATGTTGTCAATTTTTCATAGAAAATGACGAATTTAAAACATATGAATAATCAGATGATCATTTTGTAACTTTTAATAGTAGAGAGACTCAACAAAATAACATCGTATTATTAGAGGACCATTTTGTAACTTTTAATAGTCGGGAACTCATCAAAACATAGTCTTTTATATATATATATATATATATTTAAAAAATATATATACTCACATTGCACAGATATTGTTTTTTAGGGATAGTGCACAGACAGTTTACTAAATTCATTGGGATTTATGAATGAATATTTTTTATACGTATGATGTGGAAATTAAAGATAACATAATTCTATTCGTTTGAATCATAAAATTTAAAATTATAAACCTTAAACTTAAACATGATTTCTGAAACCTAAAACATAAAAGAGACACATACATTAAAACAAACTTTATTTTATATACTTATGAATATATTGGAATAAAGATAACCTAGTCTCTCAAAGTAAAGCAAAGGAAATGGAAAAAAATTTCAAATGAAATTAAAATGATAATAAACAATTGAGATTCATTAAAAGATTCGGATCGACGGGTCAACAGGTCGGGTATTTTTAAACACCCCTTATTGCGAGTACACATGTTTTTTCTGGTTTTGTTAAAATTTCTGATTCTTCCAAATATATATGTATGAACTGCATCACATGAACGCCTTTCATTAAAGGATCATGAGAGTGTCTAACAATTTAATTATCGTCATCCAAAAATAGCAACAGTTGTTGCATCTGTTAGAAATTCCTCTTTTAATGAACTTTCCGAGAAAAAAAATTCCAAAAGACTGCATTTCTACTGATTCATTTGTTGGATTAAATTCAGTAGACAATAAATAGTTAATGTTCGTTAACTAAAATTCTTTCCCACAATACCTGGTAGCAAGGTTTGTCGACTGACTCAACTCAGTTGTAGAAATGGGTTTTTCAACTTCTCTCAATAACTTGTAGATCACGGCATTCACATGTTGCCTTTCTTCCGGTCGACACCAAAGGGCTCTGAGAATTACAGGAGGAAAGACGGGAGCTGGCAGCGCAAGCCACCGGTTCTCATCCACTTCAAGTCCATTCAAACTGTGCATGTGATTGCAGCACAATATAATATATTAGAAGAATTCTTGGGTTTGATTATCATAACACTCCAAAAGATTAAAAAGCGTACCTATTTACAATATTCAGCATGTTAGGCCATTCAGCAAGCTTGAAATGGACATCCACAACGCCCATAGTTCTCGTCACCAAATACTTTACTTCTCCATAAGAATTGCATATTTTCCGGAAATCGCTATTATGGTTAACGTTTGATATCCTCACGACTGTTGTCATTGGTGCATCAATCCTGAGGATCGATAGCTTTCTTCCCGAAACAAGAATGGATTGTTGTGCAAGTGCTCTCTCTTTGGCATCTTCTGTCTGACAAGTTAAGCTCCATAAGTACATATTTAAATATGAAACCAAAAAATACAAAGACATAAGTTCACCTCAAACTCGACATATACGGCAGAACTTGTGGAACCGAAGCAAATGTTGGATATGTTAGAATGACAAAAGGCAAGTTCTTCTTTCAGCTTCTGTGAGCTTATATCCTCAGGCAGGTGTTTGACTTTAACTGTTTTGGTAGGATTCTTCACTAATGCACTTGGAGCCTCAGGATCGCCAATCAAATCAGGAATGGAAATCGCACTACCTGAGTCTTCTGAAGAAATTGACTCCACAAAGGCTTCTGCATTCATAATAATGGGATCATTTTTCTTGAGAGCAGTTTCAGAACCTTCCCTTGTCTGCAACAAAGCCGGAAAAGATTAAGATGCTAGATAGATGAAACCGAATACTTTCATAAACTAAAAAGTTTTACATATACTTCCTTCATCGAGCTCAGAAGAGATTAGAACTTGGTTAATATTAACTATTTCTTTTTTCCTGATGCCTGTAAACTTTATATTGACAAATATGATAGAAAAAAGACACTGGATCATTCAAGAAGAAATTCAAGCCAACGAACTTATATATATAGGTTTGGGGAGGTAGGGTGGTCGTGCGAATATCAAAGAACTGACCTCAAAATGTATCAAAAAATCTTTGAAAGAGCTCTGTTTAGTAGAGGAAAATTCCTCTATGTTCACAACGGGGCCGCAATCACTGAAAGATTCAAGTATATTGTGCTTCTCAACTTTTTTGGTCAAAAACCGGACAAGTACTTTGTTATCCTTAGATCCTTGTTCGCTGAGGAAACAAGTTTGTAAATGGCTTCCAACCTCTTCTCTGCTAACTGAATGCGAAGCATTAGAGTTCGGCCCTGATTTTATATTATTGGAATTGGTCAAATTCAAGTTGCTATCCTCCTTCTCACTTATGGATTCAGTAAGAAAACTTGACTCTTCTTTCTTGTCAAGTGACATTTTATTTCCATGGCTCATAAGATGTTCTTTAAATAATGTAGATCTTTTAACATTAGTGTTTTGCAAGTTAGCTGGGCTCTGAACATTGTTAAAGAACCCTCCATTGCTACGTTGATCGGTTACATTTGAGATTATCCTCTCCTGATCCTTGATAGTTTGTTCTTCTCCAAATGTTTGTTTCAATAATGTACGTCTTCTTTTAACATCAGAGTTCTGCAAGTTAGCTGGGCTCCGAACATTGTTACAGAAGCCTCCTTTGCTTTGTTGATCAGTTACATTAGAGATTATCCTCTCCAGAGCCTTCACAGTTAGTTCTTCTCCCAGTAAACCTTTTACTTTCCATAATATTTTTTGAACATCAGATTCCTGAAAGTTAGCTGAGCTCTGATCATTTTTAAGGAACCCTCCAATGCTACGTTGATCAGTTGCATCTGGGATAGTCCTCTCTTGAGCCTTGATAGTTTGTTCTTCTCCAAATAGTCCCTTCATTTCTTCAAATAAACCATTTATTTTAATGTTCTTCTCTATTTTCTTCCCTTTCGAAGATTCAGTTGGTGCTAGAGTATTATGCACATTACCTGCCATTTCTCCTGCTGTTGGATCATTCGTTTTTCTCAGCATGACATTCATCAAGTCCTCAACTCTTGAAGAACTTTCGGATGATGTATGGTTTTTGCCTGAATTAGTGCTTGCAGTTGGCCTTTGAACAAAAGTTGCAGTTCTGTTCCCAGGTAGATGGTTAATAATTTCAAATAAGTCGTTTTTGCCATCTGGGAAAGTTGCAGGTTTTTTGCTAATCGGCTCAAGTACATCCAACATTGCCCCTTGAAATCGCTCAGCATTATTTTCCATCTTTTTCCCAAATATATCCGAAAGCTTTCTTGATTGATTCATTTTCAAAGAGTTCTTCTCCAGTACATCAGTAACTGAAGTACTTAATTCATAGCCATGAGAAACTCTTACAGCTTCTGGTGGATGAACTATAGTTTGAATGTCACCAAGGGCAACATTATCAGAACTGCTTGCATTTACATCCGGCTCCTCAAAAGCATTTCCTCCAATTGTATCAGATGCTGAACAGGATGAATCAACCTTTGATCCACCAGGAGAACTCATTACAAATTCCGTTGATTTAGGTACATCTACAGACTTGAAAGATTTAGTGGAAGGTGAACTATGCTCTGTCGCGGTAACATCATATTCTTCAGTGTCAACTTTGGCATCTGATGTTTCCCTGGAAATGGATTTCTGAAACCAAAGACTTCCTAGAACCGTTTGCTTTAAGTTTGATAGAATTCCCTTAAACCATACCCCACTTTCACTGCACCACCAGTTTTAGAACAAAATAACATCAAAAGCACTAAATGCAAACCATATCAACTGATTGTAAACATGGATTGTATTCACCCAGGCAGAAAAAACAGTTAATTGGAATATATATATATATATGCTACACAGAATTATCAAATATTTATATATCCAAATGAAGATAGGCTATAAAACATTCAAAGAATTTTTTTACCAAAACCCATCACTTCATCAGTCTAAACATCAATAAAATGAATTCCATCAGTAAACAATGAAAAGAAAGCTCACTTCTTTGGTTCTTTATCACCTGCTTTGCCCTCCTTTGATCCCTTCAATCCCTTCAAAAACGAAGATTTCTCAGTCCCATCACTGGAAAAAGAAGAAATAAAGTACCATTTTGTTGATCGGGTAAGCCCTGCAATAGTTATGTATGAAATTCGTTGTTGTCAGAGAACGCACATGAACTGTTCGACAAAATTTCTAGTACAATTCAAAAATATTCCGAGATGGGAACTTTTACCTCTTCCGTTGAAATGCAAACCCTGTGGTTTGAGACGAAGGAGGTGAGAGGTTGCCATTTCGGGAAGGGTTTAGTTCTTCCACCGCGAATAGACGGAGAGAGAGAGAGAGAGAGGTTTTATTTGTTGAAATGCAAACCCCGTGTTATCTTTCCGTTTGGTTCCGAGCAAATCATCTTTTTTGAAATATGTTTGATTTGTCTTTGTTTTTTTTTGGACACTTTTGCTTGAATATGGAGTGACAAAAAAAACTACAGAAATTATTTTTTGAAATAAGGTGTTTTAAAGTACTCCATACAAGTCACTAGAATTATGTGACAATTTTTAAAAGTTGTTAAGATTACACAATGATTTTTATTCAAAATCATATCTTTTTATATCGTCTTTATAAAAAATCATCATGTAATTCTATTCACCAAGTATTATTATAAAGATTTAATTATTGCGAAAGTATACTTTTGCAGTTAACTGTAAATTAACGTTGATAAATGACTCCACAGTTGAGATATTTCAAATATGAAGTTTGTTACAAGTTTTTGAGTTGTGGCAAATGTAGGACGTGTGGCCTCTACTTGTGGTCTTCCACTACTGCTTGAGGTTTAGTCTGAATCCACAAATAACATGTACCTGACTTATGTTTATACTCGTTCTCGCTTAAACTATATCTACTAACGAATTAAAATTTATCATAAACATGTCCATTTCGAATTAGACTGAACCTGAATTAAATAGTTCTAGTTTGAAACAAACCGAATCTGATCTAAATCAATCTAATCTGAAGTAGTTGAGTTCAATAAAATTGAGTTGTTGATTGTCAATTATTGAAGGTTAACGGTTGATTTTGATAGTTGACCATTGATTTTGATCGATGTTGACTTTTTACTTTAACCCTAACATTTTTTGATGTGTTGGCTCCAATTTTACAATCCGTTTCATCAAATTTTAACTCGAAAATCCCAAATTAATAGTTTCCAGATTGTTGGTAATATTCCCCGCAACATATTATCATAATTATTTTGTTTAATTTGCAAGTATTTATAATCCTTTAGTTTGTGTATATATATGCATAGAAAATAGGGGAAGCAATTTAAAAATGAAGGATAAATTACCAAACTTTGCTATTTGTATAGGCATACAAGTCTAATCCATTAATTCTGCCTTGTAGACTGATTCAAGGCACTGCGATAAGGATATTTGTTACATTCATGTTCAAAAAATTATGCATGTTGTACTATAATTTAAATAAGCATATGCTTTGGTTTAACATAAATGAATCAAAATCTCAGTGAAAGGTGGCGACCAAATTTGTTTCTGATAACATTTGCAGCATCATTTTTTGAAGAACTGATTCCGAGTTTGGAGCAGATCTCAACGATGAAACCATCTGATGATTTTGGGAAATTCTTTTCTCCCCTGTGATAATCAGATTCCAACAAAGACCCTTTTTCAGGGATGGGAGGACAATCCCAGAGGTGTAAACATTTCAAACTCTCATCTTCTGATGAGGGAAATTGAAGGTCTTTGTCCTCAAAATAAGAGTCGTCTTCGCTTTTAACCAATATTGGGCTTTCTAAGTCGTCCATGAGATGAAGATCGTGTATGATATCTTGGGCTGTCGAAGTTGATGTGAAAAATGAGCCGAATTAAGAATTGGAAGCTCTTGATGAATCTGATGATGATGATGATGATGATGATGGAGAAGTTGTTGCCGAATTGCCAAATCCTTTGATTTCTTTTGATGTTTTGAGGGCTTTTAGTCTTGCTTGTCTCAATGATTCACCTCCTTGTAGTAGTTCTAGCACATTATCTGATCTTTTCTGCATGTTTAGACCCCAATCGAACCTAAAAGTGAAACACACAAGATTTTATGATTGTATTGTACTAAATATAAATGACGTAATCTAAAAAATTACAGCTAACTATTGATAAAATAATTATTTTAGTCTCTATTCTATTTCTTGAAATACTTTAGTTCTCGACGTTTAATTTTGAGACAAAATACCTTTGATAATTAATAATCAACGTATGTCACCGACATGAGACAACCACGTGTCCAAAGTGATGACTTGGTTCATATTACGTGTCTAAAGTGATACATGATTCATACTGTGTATAGAAAGAGATGACATGACACTTATTATATATTGAAAAATGACGACGTAACACATATCACATGTTGAAAAACCAATGACATAACACATGACATATGCTAAAAATGGTGACGTGACAGTCTCATGTCAATGAAAAATATTGTATGTTAGTTAACTAATGGTTTCCATCCAACTAAGGGTTATTTTGTCCTAAAACGAAATGTTGGAGTCAAAATGCTAAGGACCAAAGTAGCTATTTAAACAAACGTTAGGAATATTATTTTGACATTATACCAATATAAATTCAAAAAGAAAAGCAGAGAAACAAAGATCAGGTACAACGTGTGTAAATGTTCCAAGCTCTTCAATGCCCTCGTAATCACACATAAATTCTCCAGCAAAAGTTGTAGGGCCATGAGTTAGTAAGAATTCAAGGAGTACCAATGTTTTGTAAAATTGCCTCCAATGCTTCCATTCTTTACGATCCAACCTATAGGGACGGACGCAGAATTTTATGTTTAGGAGAGAACTTATAAAATTTTAAGTATGAAAGAACTTATAAAATTTTAAAGGGTCGAAAACATATTTTCAATAAAAAATATTTAAAATATATAAGAATTTGAAATTTTTAAAAGACCATCCCCTCTAAATCCATACCTACACCATATTAATCAATAAATTTCAACTTATCTAAACCAACCATTATTACTGTAGGATCATGTATTCATAATGCCATAAAAAATGGTTTTCTTTTACATTTTTTTTCCGAAGAGTTTTGGATTCATTACCTTCTGTGTATGATATGAACAATCCTCCAATAATCCTCCATGTTAAATGATGTCTCTGATATCTTAGTCATTGTTCTAACATCAGGCCCCCATGGATCATTGTTTGTTGCATCTTCAGTTAACCTTCATTAATATGTTTATAAAATCAACACTCAAATGTTTATTATTACACACAAACGTATATAAAAAAGGACTTACAATTCAGCAGCAGTCACATCAGTGAAGGCAATCCTTGCATCTCTGTATTTTTCTTGAAGAAAACAAGAAGCTTGTTCCTTAATCTTGTTTAGCAGTAAGGTCCCCATAAATAGAAGCTTTTTTTTAATCAAGAGAAGATTTTTGAGCTCTTTTAATCAGAAATTTAATAAATTAAAAGGTTGTGATGAAATTTTATGGACTTTTATAAGAAGAAATTTGTCATTTATATGGACACGCTTGCTTTTAGTTCAAAATGTTGAGGGAAATTGCTAAACTCTTTACTTAGTGAGAAAGGGGAAATTAATGTTTGATTGAACAGAAAAGTAGGATCCTCAAATGGTGCAGATTGCACAACCATCAAACGTGCTTCTTGGATCTTCCTACTGAATGGAGGAGGAAGAAGCCTCAGACCAACCATGCCTATAAAAACAATTTGCAATGAAAGAATATCAAGTGGATACCATGATCTTGTTCATGATATACATCGCAAGGTGGATTACAAGTAGGGAACACATTGGTCCACAAAAGAAGGGAATTCGTGAATGGAAAGACCCAGGGATAGGTTCAAGCGGACTGGCAATCGCCTCTGATTATAAGTTTGTCTTGTCTTAAAATTTTAAAAATATGTCTCTTAACATAAAATCTTACATTCATTTTGAGTCAGGACCTATCTCTCATAACTTAGGCTTAAACGTTAAAGAAAACCTTGGCCCAAGCAATGTATCAAAGATAAGACTTTTTCAAAACAAAATGAACCCATCTTTCCATTAAAAAAATGTGGGTCTCTCAAGCAGCAATCACCCTGGCGGTCCTCAAGAATGAAAGAATTAAAAAGAAATAAAATACTTTAGTACTAACGCCCCACTCTGAGTAAGATATGCCAACAAGAAGTACCCTAAAACCACCAAGAATGAAACTAGTAAAATGTGGTCAAATGTCACCCCTGGTAGAAGCCACTGTTGAAGGGAAGTGGAACCGTGGAAGTGAAACAACACTTTTTGCGAGGGTAAGAGAATCTATTCATCAACTTAAATTACATTTGCCAATGATTCATCACTTACAATCATTTGTATAGAGTTTTTTTTAAGTGACAATTAGAATAATTACATTCATTTATCTAATGTATGCATTTATTCATCCACCTATATATTTATACATTTGTGTATCCTAATCAAGTACATTCATGCATGGCAAATACATTAATTTAACATAATACGAAATATTTCTAGAATGTTAAAAATTATAATATCTAACACTCCCAATTAGTTTAAACCTTTATTGAATGTACTAAAACTTCTGTGTATTCTTTGAAAATCTCAATTTTTAAGAGATTTTGTCAAAATATCCTATATTTGATTTTAAGTCTTTACAAACTTTAGCTCCACTTTCTTCTTGGCGTATGTTCTCTAAAAAATGATATCTCATGTCAACATGTTTGTTTCGATTATGGAACACCCAATTCTTTGTGAGTGTTTGTGTAGACTTTTTATCAATGCAAGTTTTGGTATATCCTTCTTGTGGCAAGTGAATTTCTTTCAATAATTTTTTAATCCAAATGACACGACAAGTACAAGAAGTTTCTGCCACATATTCAACCTCACATATAGAAATAGTCACATTAAGTTGCTCAATGTAAATTTCCTCTTCTAAGAAACCGTTAAGATACACAGACTTCACATCAAGTTGATATATTTTTACTGTTGGGTTTGGGGTTCTGTCTTCATAATCATGGTTTGGTTATGAATATAATAAATAACCGAGTGATCATTTTATAACTTTTAATAGTTGAATGACTCAATAAAGTATCTCCCCATAGTCGAAAGATAATTTTGTAACTTTTAATAATTGAGAGACTCAACAGAACTTATCTTATAATCAGGGATAATTTGTGTATTTTACCCTTTAATTTATTAGAATTATTAATTAAAATATTATAGTTCATTCGCCTTTTTTTATGCAGAAAGGGCATTTGTTTATTTAAATATAACAATGGTAAACTAAAAAAAAAAACAGGCATCATTGTCTAAACATAAGGAGTATAAAGAAACATAAAAGAAGCACAAACATTCAAAGAAAACATAAAGAAAGATATCCCTTCAAAGCTTCAATGTAACATCCAACTCTTCTTGATCATCTGAATTGTCATCTATTTGCCTGTCAACTATCGTTTCCATTCCATCAATTAGTAAGTTTGCTTCCAACAGGTGCAGAAAAGGCCTGGTGAATAGCTCAACGCGGGACTGTTGCACCGTCATGATTTGCGGCACAGCAGACACTATTGTTGACGGTGTCGGAGTCGAGTTGTTCCTAATCCCCGTAGACTGGACCGAAACAGGTGGCGGTCTCACAGTTGACTGTTGATCTACGTTGCGAACATTGGCACCAATGGAAAAAGGGTTTATATATGTTTCTCTCGGCCTTGGCGGTGTCGGATTCGAGTTGTTCACCGTCGATTGAATCGAAACAGGAAGTGGTCCGGCAGGCGACTGCTGGTCTAAGTTGCGAGCAGTGGCACCAATGGAGAAAGGATTTATATTTATTTCTCTTAGCCTTGGCGGAGTTGGATTAGAGCGTTGGAACGAAACTGGCAGTGGTCCGACAGTCGACTGCTGGTCTAAGTTGCGAGCATTGGCACCAATGGAGAAAGGGTTTCTAGTTATTTCTATTGGCCTTGAAGGTGTCGGATTTGAGTTGTTCTCCGTCGATTGGAACGAAACAGGCAGTGGTCTGACAGTCGACTGCTGGTCTACGTTGCAAACTTTGGCACCAAAGGAGAAAGGGTTTATATATGTTTCTCTCGGCCTTGGCGGTGTCGGATTCGAGTTGTTCTCCGTCAATTGGAACGAAACAGCCAGTGGTTCGACAGTCGACTGCTGGTCTACGTTGCGAGCGTTGGCTCCAGTGGAAAAAGGGTTTATATTTGTTTCTCTTGGCCTTCTCGGTGTCGGATTCGAGTTGTTCCCCGTGGATTGAAACGAAACAGGCAGCGGTCTGACCATTGACTGCTGATCTAAGTTGCGAGCATTGATTCCAATGGAGAAAGGATTTATATTCATTTCTCTTGGCCTCGGCGGTCTCGGATTCGAGTTGTTACCCGTCGATTGGAACGAAACAGGCAGTGGCCCGACAGTCGACTGCTGGTCTAACGTGCGAGCATTGGGTCCAACAGAGAAAGGGTTTACATTTATTTCTCTCGGCTGCAGCATAGACGGAACATAACTGGTCCGCGACAACGCCAACGATAACCTCAGCCGCATCCAATCTTGCTGTTGGGTTGACGGTGCCGGTTGATTAGAGGTTGACGACATGTGACTGAGCAAAAGCTGCCGTTTAGTCCTCGCTTCATCGAGCAAAAGATGAAGCTCGATGTGATCGAGTAGATCTTTACGGTTCATGAAAATACAATCACAAATCCGACAAGCAATTAGGTTGCTCTGCTCACCATGCATGTTTCCATACCTCAAGTTAGCCATTTTTATTTTCTCGAGAAAATTAACGAAGAAAACTTTGAAAACAAGAGGAAAGGAAATGAGAAGTGAAGTGAAGGCGTTTCTGATTCTGACAAATTATATAGGTAAAAACAAAATCCGGTTACCATTTTTAACGTTTCTTTCAAAGTCATGTAATTTACTGTTATTGATTTGGTACTAAGTGAGAAAAAACTCAAAATAGATAAAAATTAATGAAGGTACGCATTGTTGACTGTGACAAATAATTAGAACGTTAGTAATAAATAATTCCCAATAAGATGCTTATTTTCCTCGAATTAAAAAGTATATACGAACTAAACGATCTCAGTAGTTAAGGAATTATTATTATTTATTGAGGTTCTGGATTTAAGCACCATATACGTAGGAGTGTGAGAGTTCAATATGAAACGACTGAGAATCTTTGATCATGTGTTATCTTATAATCATCTAGAAAGATACTATAAAATCCGTTATGTCATGTTATACTTATGAGTGACATTGAACTACATTCCTATAATACGTGTTCATGTTTCATAGATTCGAATATTAACAGTTATAAACATTTTTCGAATTGATACAAAATTATTTTCTTTCACAAATTAACGACTTTAATTCGATTTTTTTATTACATCATGTCGTAATTATGACCGAAAATAAACTACATTTATATAGTATGTGTTCGTGTTTCATAGATTCGAACATTAATGAGTATGACCTATTTTAAAAGTTATCATAGAAACTTTTTTATCCACTTTTATAATGTAAAATGAAAATAATAAAAACAATTTAAAAACACATTATAATAGATTAAAATTTATGGTTAAAAAATAAAGATTTATCATCAATATATAAAATAATTATTCATATTTTTATTAGAAGACAATTATTTTTCTATTTTAAATTTCTAAAAGTTTATTATGTTTGCTAGTATGTTATTTCACTACCCATATATCAGTAGTTAATATTCATATGTATTATAAGATTTCTTTCCATTTATGAAAAGGATGCGCGATGTCTACAATATGATAACACATTAATGATTAATTAATTAATTTGAACAACTTAAAAAATTGGTTTCCTAATTAATAATTATTAGTTATTAAACTTCTAGTTTTCTATAATTCATTACCAATAATCAGAACATCCACCAAATTAAAAGATGTATTGATTAATTATTTGTTCATATATAGCCTAATACTCTATAGGTAGTATTAATGATTAATAGTTTGAACATATATTATATTGTAATCACTTCATACTATTTAAAAGAAAAAAAATTGACTATGAATTCATGAAATTACTTTAGTGGTAAAATAGAATATTAACTTTTATTATAATCTAAATTCGAACAATTATGTCTACAAGTGTGTGTACATTATCAATAAACTAAAAAAAATCTTGAACAGATATTATTCATTATAATCACCTCAAATTATTAAAAAAATAAATAGATATGACCATATAATCATACTTTGTTTGTACATATTTTTATATAATTATCATTTTAAGATAGCTTTTGTTTATAAAAAAATATGTTAATAATTTCTTAGCAAAAGTAAAATATCAAGTATGTACTATGAGTTATAACTCACACACTAAAAAACCAAATCAAATTTATAATAGAGAAATAACTTCAGTAACGGA